AATTGCGATTTATTTAACTGCCACAGTGCCAAAATTCAGTGTTATGCTGCCAAATGCAGTCCAAAAACACCTGAAAGGCCATATCAATCTATGCCACCAATCACTCCTCTAAAATTTCATAGGAGCTTTGGGGAAAAAAAACTCTTGGGTGCAAATCTAGAGTCATGAAAACATCCCCTTTGCCACTGCTTTATATTTACTACTATCATATTATTATTAGTAATCTCAGATTTACTAGTGTATTTACAAAACTGCTTATTAAATATTTTTCCCTTTCCTCTTATTTATACCCTTCTTCTTCATAACCTAAGGAAGCATACATCAGGATCACCTTAAAGTATTTTATCATGTATTACCATTTTCCAGTTAGCATCAAATACTCCCAAATAAGAAGCCCTTGATTTTGATAAAACTGAATTCCTCCTCTGTCAAAATCCTTAAAACTCAGCTAAAGAATCTGTGCCCTCCAGATACCAATGGATTACAATTCTCCTCGTTCTGGTCCACTGGTCAGGAGGGATTAAGATGGTGAACAATGTGGTTTTCTTTTAAGAGGCTGCCAAATCACAAAAACTAGCATGTTTTGAATCTAATTCCTCCTAAAAAATCTCACGGAAATGAGTAGCACCTTTAGCCAAAACTAAGGTGTTGTTGTTTAGTTGTTTAGTTGTGTCCGACTCTTCGTGACCCCATGGACATCCCATTAATTTCAGTTGGTCTCCTCGAACTATGCCTATTCAATATACCTTTTGAAAGTGCAGTATCACACTTCACCCAAGTGGTTTAACATATAATGGATGTATGGCCCATTTCAGAATTTGTGACTCCCTCACACTGGTTGTAGCATGACTTAGATGTGAACATATGATCCACACTGTGACAACAATGTCTCTAGGTCCTTCACTAGAAATCTAGTGTCTCAAATGTAGCATTTCTAATATGCACAACCCACATATGTCCCCAGCCATTTTCAGACTGATTCATCATATAACATATTAAAACATATATATGAAGTATTGCTGTCAGGCACTGCTGTAACTAAAGCTTGAAGGACTGGAGGACAATGTTATTTTTATTAGCCAAAACCTAAACTCTATATAAGATGGTTGACAAAAACAACTATAACACTTACATAATTTCTAAATAATTATGAAGAGGAGAGACAGAAATGATGAAAGGATTATGAAAGACTTTTCTCACTTCAGATAGCTTTGCAAAGGAATGACGAATGTAAGAAGTCACAACCAACATCTATGTCATTACAGATAGGCCTGACTTATTTCTATTTATAAATTCTGTTTCACAATGGATGATGACCTGCTTAAGTTGTTACATATTTAAAAGATTACACACATACTGTACGTGATGATTAGAAACTATTTTCTCTTTTTCACACAAGCATACTTCACTGGATAATTCGAGGCTGTTTGAACAAGTTATCCCAGAACATCTTAAACTCTTTCGGCTAAATTTGTTAATCAAAACCAATCCACCAAAGTCCCGGGACTTGTCAAATCAAGAATGATGTAAATCCCACTGATTCAGAGAGTCTGCTGTCACTGGCACTAGCAACTGGATGCAACCATCTACAGGCAGCAGCAGATGAGTCGATCACACACTCAGCTCTGACAGGGCAAACAACGGAATGGATTACAACGCCTCTTAATCTAAAGGCACACACTCCCCAAATGAATACCTGACTCGGACCCGAAATTCCTGCTAAGCTGGGTGCATCCGCACACGTCTCTGCCTCCCTGTGCGCAGCTGTCTTCTTCTTCGTCCGTGCAGCGATTGTGTTAGGTTCCAACTGTGACAGAACTTGGCATGTGGGGCGTGGAGTTGTGCAGGGGCGAAGCCCTGCCAAGCAGGCCTTAAAATTACAGGGTACGTTGCACAGACCCATTTGTTTCATCAGCGTAAAAACAGTCCAAATCAAGCAAGGGACATTTGGATACATGACCTCTCCAAATTCATAGTATCTATTTTCAGTATATAGACATAGACACAAAATAGATTCTAGACTTGATTTACGACTCCTGAATATATCACAAAAGAGTAGTGCCTTGACACCTCTAAGACTAAGACTTATTTCACTGTGAGTTTTTGTGGATCACAACTAGACATAGGGATGAATTAAAAAATCAATCGCAATATCCATTAAAAATTCATGATTCATTTAATATTCACTCCTTCGTATTCGTCAGTTCCAGAGACCCCAACTAATACAAAGGGATGAATATTTGTCCGTTTTTATTCATCCCCCATAGGAAGAAACAGCTGATCGGCGGGCCTATAGGTAGCCAGCCACCCTCACAGCCACCCCCACACACAGTCTGTCCCCCGCACCTTCCCCTCCCTATCTTAGCCACTGCCACTCTGCAACCACCTGGCATTGGCGCTATTCATTGCTGCTCGCTACATTGGCCTCCACCACCATGGCCTGCCGTAAGGGACACTGGCTGCCCTTTGCAAAGTCAGCAGCTCTGGCTTCTGTTAGGGCAGGGAAGCTGCAGCTGTCATCTTTACAGATTCCCTTAAGAAAGGCTATGGGGGGTAGAGACCACCACAGTGAGTTGTGGTGGACGGCAGCAGAGGCCATGGTGGCGCAGACCACTGCAGATGGCGACGGCAACACCAGCGCAGATTTCAGGTACAGATGACAGCAACTAAGGTAGGGAGGCGACAGGGGTTGTGGGAAGGGGGCCAGATGTGGGGATCAGCTTTTCTTTTTCGAGAGCCTTGGGCTGTCTAAAATAAACTCCAATGAACTGACCAAGTGATTTGTGATTCGTCGGTTCCCGGGGAGGAAATTTGTGGTTCATCAACCCCATCTCTAATCACAACCCATTTCCTCATACTTAAATACTTTACACAATGCTTTTATTTTTGTTGCACTTCCAATGCTGTATATGCTAAAATAGGCTAACTGAAATGTATTCCAATGTCACACCATAAGCTGCACAGCATTAATTTTGCCCCCTTTCATCTTTCCATTAACCCTGCAAAATATATTTCACTTTACATTAGCTTTCACAGACTATAGCTCAGGGGTCCACAAAAACATATGCCAAATTGAATTTACAGGTCTTCTAAGTGCCACGAGCTTCTTTGTTGCTTTTACTGCAGCAGGTTAACACAACTACCCCCTTGGACATTACAAGAACAATTTCTAGTAAATAGCTCTTGTCTTGTGGTAATTTAAAGACTAAGATATTATGGTAAACTTTGATTAAGTATATGAAAGACTGTTATGCCTGAACTGGCTGGATAGCTCAGTGGTTTAGTTCAGCGGTCCCCAACCTTTCTAGCCCTGCAGTCCAGCTGGGGAAGGCGGGGCACCCCCATGCGCTGGTGCGCATGCGCAAAGGTCTCTCTCCGCAGCCTGGTCCAGCTCAGGCCATGAACCGGCACCGGGTCATGGACTGGGGGGTTGGGGACCTCTGGTTTAGTTGGTTGAAAGTTCAATTCCCCACTGTGCCTTCTGGGAGAAGAGCCAGCCTCTGTAGCCTTGGGCAGAGGACCAGGCCATAGAGACATACCTCCCCCACTCCCCCTATACAGCCTCCTTGTGCCTGCGCCAGCACTTCCCCACCCCTTCATACATGCACATGAGTGCCCCCAAGCACCATGCCAACCTTCGCGCGCCCACGAGTGCCCTCCCACTCCGCACATGCACATGAGTGCCTGCACGACCGCATGAGGACCCTACCGTTCCTTTGCACATGAGCAGGTGTGCCCGTGCAAGAGTGCCTGCTCCTTTGTGCATGCGCACAAGTGTAGGGGGTGCCTCACCTTCCCCAGCCAGTCTACAGGATTCAAAAGGTTGGGGGCCACTGGCCTTGGGCAAGCTACACACACCCAGGGCACCCTCAGAAGGGAACCACTTTTTAATATTCTCTACCTGGAAAGGAGAAGGGGACGACCGAGGATGAGATGGTTGGACAGTGTCATCGAAGCAACCAACATGAATTTGACACAACTCCGGGAGGCGGTGGAAGATAGGAGGGCCTGGCGTGCTCTGGTCCATGGGGTCACGAAGAGTCGGACACGACTAAACAACTGAACAAACAAACAAACAAACAAACCTGGAAAATCCCGAAAAGGGTCACCATAAGTCAGAATTGATTTGATGGCATATAATTATTATTATTGTCATTATTACACCTGAAATATGGTTATTCATTGTTGGAGCACAGGAATGCAAACAAATGCAAGCAAAAATGCATCGAAAAGTGCAAAAAATGTATTACTAACTGCAGTGCTTCAAAAAAGTATTGCAGATAATAAAGGCAACAATAACAACCAAACCTTATACTGTATTCTCCAACTTGGGCGGGGTGGCATAACAGCCGACGTCATGACTTAGAAACCTCTTTAGACCCAGGAATGCAAACAAATGCAAGCAAAAATGCATCGAAAAGTGCAAAAAATGTATTACTAACTGCAGTGCTTCAAAAAAGTATTGCAGATAATAAAGGCAACAATAACAACCAAACCTTATACTGTATTCTCCAACTTGGAGGGGTGGCATAACAGCCGACCTCATGACTTAGAATCCTCTTTAGACCCCCTTTAGCCGAAGGTTTGCCCTTCTGTGTCTTCCTCCACCCAGGCTGACTACAGTATATGTTATTGAGAATTCAGCTACGTTTGCACTGACTGCGGAACAGCAGTTGGCTTAAATATCTTGCTTTTCTGGGCAGTTCTCCCGTTTTCAAGAGACCCACAGAGTCGCCTGTATTTTTCAATGCATAAAACGGTTGCATTCAGTAGCTCAGGGATGTGTCCCCCCTCCCCCTCCTCGCCACACACCCCGACACCCTCCGTTTTCTCCTCAGCCACCGCCACAAGTAAAACAGCGAAAGCCGCAGGCCCGCCCCCAATTCCCGCTCTTTCCTTCCGCCAGGTGACGTCACTTCGCAGCCCTTCCGCGCCTCTAGGGGGCGCTGACAAGTTCCCACCCCCACCCCACTCCCCGGCGGAAAGCGAAGGAAAGAAGGTCTTTAAAAAGACCTTCGCGCGAGCCGGCCTGCTATCCAGTTCCGGGCTGTTTCTGCCGAGGAGCGCGTGCGCGGGAGGGAGGCTCTTCTGCTCGCGCTGAAGTTTGGCTGCCTTTGCAGGCGCTGCGCCCGACCCACATCCTCTTTGCTGCCGTCGCCAAGGGATCATGCTTGCCTTCGGTTCCGCCCGGCGCCTCTTGCTGCTCCTTGTGCAGCCTCAGCCAGGCCGGGCCGCCGCCGCCGCTGCCACCGCCGAGAAGTTGCTCCTGCTCCAGGTTTCTCCCGCGCTCTCCCTAAACCCCGCCGGCCGTGCCTGCAGTGGCAGCAGCCGCGGCGCCCAGCGGAGAGAGGAGGACCGGGACGACGACGACGACAACCGCGGGAACCCTTTGGTTTACCTGGATGTGGGCGCTGACAACCAGCCGCTCGGCCGGGTTGTGTTGGAGGTACCGGTTGCTTTGCTTTCCTTTTTTTTTTCTTTCACCCTCGTTTCTCTTGGAAGAGGAAGCGGGCAGGCTTCCCAAGGGCAAGTGCCCTTGGGGGCCGGTTGTATACAAGGACACTTCCTCACAACGATACTAACACGTGCGTAATTCTAACACGATGTTTCTCCAAGAGAACAGGGTTGCAGACACGGGGTCTTGTCATATTAGAAGGGACTCTGTGGCTCAAACAGCAGTTGAAGTCCTTCCCATCCCGGGAAGAGAAGCGAGGAAGGGTAACCTGTTGGATTTCTGTCTGCTATGCCTTCCTTTATTAATACTTAAAAGTGTGCATTGTGACACTTCACTGAAGCCCGGTGTCTTTTCTCGGCCGTCCCGTCCCCCCCTCTCCATTTCTTTGTCTTTTGAAATGCATAAGAATTCGACAGTTTGCGATGTCTTGTTTCAACCGCCACGATGGGGAGAATTGCTGCTCTTTGGGGGAGGACACTGCCAAGGAAAAAAATGTCAGATTAAAAGTGATGTTGAGGGAATCCTATATAGCCCTTTTTTAAGTGACTTTTTTTTTAGAATGACTGTTTATCTTGATACCTGCTTATCTTCGTATGGATGGTTTTTGATCTGTATTGTTGTTTGGGAATTTAATTTATATCCTGGAGTTGTAGTTAAGTGATATGCCCTTGCACATGTACCCTGAACTTAAAATGGCTTTTCCAGAGATGACCACTTAGTTAGGCTGAGGCCCCCACCTTTGCAAAGGGCCACACCATCCTTGCTTTCAATGGATATTATTTCCAAGCAAATTGACTGTAAGGGAGATTTTGCACTTAGAAGATGGGGGCAGGGGAGAATCAGTCAAGCAGTTTTTTAAAAGTCAGTTTTGATAAATCAATCAAAAATAAACAAAGCAAGGATTCCAGAGTCTAGACATGGAGACTATGTCACTGTGCCCAGTGTTAATTTAACAGGGGACTCCTAGCTAGGAACGTTTGACAGTGTTTCTGGGTGATATAGGTGATGATCTTGGGAAGAATTTACTGTATTCAGAGGGGAAAAAATCCTTAATATTGAGCTACTACAGAGAATCTTCTTTACATAGGCCGTGTTGTATGTAGCGGCTTGATCTAGAAAAGGCCATAGTAATTCCCTTTCTAAAATGCTTGAGGGGGTTGTGTTTTTTGCAAAGATAAAAACTAAAGTAATTGAGCTTAGTTTTAACTATGTCCCGTATAGGGGAAAGCTACGGTAATATTTGAGTTAGAATTCTGAACTCACCTTTTCGAAAGGCAGATGTACTTTTTTAGGAAACAGTTGACTCTCCGTTCCCAACCCTTCCAGAGGCAAATGAATTCATTTCAAAAGGTTGCTTAGAAGTTGAGGGACAAAAGATTATTAAAATTTTAGATAAAATCTTTTTTTAGGCGTAGAAAGTGTTGCTGAAGGTACTAGCTGAATATCTGTAGCCCCATAGCTACAGCAAGGAGGTATTTGAGCATTTTGAGCAGATTTTCTCCAGTCCTAGTTGAATAATAAAGTGATTTTTTAATGCTTTAATATTCTAACCAGAGCTGTTGGTCAACAAAAATCTTAAACACATGCATTCTCTATGCAAAAGTTTTATGTGTATTACAAAGAGCCATACAGTTTCTGTGAGTTAAAGAACAAGAAGCAAGTAACATACCTTTAAAAAGCATGATTGTTTGGGATTGAGTAGGGTTGGGAGAGATGGGACAACAGCTTAGGGTGTGTTGCAAGGCTGATGTTTTATCTGGCAAAGGGCCCAGTGCTTTTTAGAACAAAGTACTAGATTACAAGAATCCATTTTTATCTAAATCCACACTGTGTGCCCACGATAAGGAAAATATATACATTGAGGGTTTGAAATATTTGCTCATGATGTGATTGGAGACATTTGTATTAAAAGTAGTTGTAGAAATTACAGTGGTGCCTCGCTTAACGAGCGCACCATTTAACGACAGATCCGCATAGCGATGCGTTTTTTTGCGATCACTAATGCGATCGCATTGCGATGTTGTAGGTGGCAAAACATCGCGTTGCGATGTTTAGAAAACAGCTGATTGGTAGTTCCAAAATGGCCGCCGGGTGCAGAAAATGGCCGCCCGCAGTGTTTTCGCGCCCTGCCCTCACCGGGCAGAGAAAATGGCCGCCAGATGGAGGATTCCCCACATGGAGGTGAGTTTTTTCCCAATAGGAACGCATTAAACAGAGTTTAATGCGTTCCTATAGGTTCCCCCCGCATAGCGACGAATCTGGATAGCGACGATTTATCCAGAACGGATTATCGTCGCTATGCGGGGCACCGCTGTACTGGAAAAGCAAAATAGGTGGAGTGGTTTTTATCTAGTTGTTTTGGATAAAGAATTATGGACACAAGCTGGCCTGATTTCACAATATATTTCACTTTTTATTCATTTTTATTTTAAAATAATTTTTCAAAGTTACATTTTGCCCTAAGCTCCTGTAAGGAGACTTCCAGGTCAGGAGACAGTAAATCAATAGATTCACGAATGCCTTTGGTAGACCTCTTGACATGCACCTTGCACAATGTGGGAAAAAGGAGCCATTTGTCAATTAATATACAGTGGAGGGATTATCCTATTTTACTTGTGCAACAGTATTGTCAGGTTAATTAGACTGAGATAGCGAGTGGTGCCATTATCCCTCAGCTATGTGCTGGGTAGAACAAGAGGTTGGATTATAGTCTTCTTGATCACCACACCATTCTAGTTCGTATTGCCACACTATTATATTTTCAGGGTAACTACCTTGATGTTTTTAGCATTTTCACATGTTTATTAGCATGCTCTGCAGTTGGTTTGGGAGCTTTGGGCATTTGTGTATGGCATGCTTGCTGTTTCATTCCCTCACTTCAGATGCTTAACTTCAGAAATGTAAAAGTAGGCTGCTGCAGGCACCTCTCTCCTGTGTTGTGCAAGCAGCTCCAGATGCAGAATGTGGAAGTTACCAAATTAGGCTCTGAGGTCCAAGTTAATGTGCACTCCTGGAAGACCTTTCTTGAGTATGAATTGCATAGAAAGCTGTTCCAGAGGTTATGTTGTGTCAGATGGGTAAGATGGCCCTAGGAATGGAAGGGGAAAAGTTGGCAATAAGACTGAAAAGTCTTGTGTTGTGTGCCAACTTTGAAGTTTGGCAGGTTCTGTGGGGTGCTGTGAAATACAGATTGGTTGCAGAAGATATCCTTGAGGAAGAATGGGTCATTGCCAGTCCTGATTATCTGTGGTGAGGCAGAATAACTTCCTGATGAAAGGGGAGGCAAGCTGTCGAGTTGATTCATTAAAGTGCCCCAAAGCTGATTTACACATTTGTAGGTAGCAGGATGGATTAAAACCAATGATTTTTGTTAAAAAAAACTGATTTAAATCACGATTTAAATTTTAAAAAATGTTTTGTTAATTAAATCGCAAAAAAAAAATACTATTTAAAATTTAAATCATGATTTAAATCAAACCCACCCTGGTAAGTAGATAGCAGACAGGTTTTACACTGTGTCTTAGTGAGTTGGTTGCACATCTGGACAGCTCATACTTCATAGGATGATCATGAATCCTGTTTAAGTCATGCACAAAGGAAATAACCAATCTGATGTCATATTTCCACAGGTAAATTATGTGGAGGATCACTTCCCCAAGAGTCATGGGTGTTAATCCTTATGGCAGAAACCAGCTAAGTGACACTGTGAAATGAGTGAGTCATTTCTGTAGACAAGGTCACCTGTGGCATGCTGATCAGGGGAAGCTGGTTGAGAAAACAGAAAAGGTTTTACCATAAAGTTTGAATAGGGGTACTGCACGTTGACACTCCTTCTGCAAACAAGCATTTCTAACAATGTATATTGTTCAGTGATGCAGACTGTGCAGTCTGCTTATTTGTCCTAGGCCACAAGTACATGATTACATAGACAGTGAAGGCAGCCTTAGTAAATTTCTGTGTTGTGAAATGTCTGTCTTAGAAAAATATTAAACTTGTATCTTTATACATACTGCACATTTAAAATACCTGTTTCTCTTAGCTGCCCTTCTGTTTGCTTGTTGCAGTATGAATTAATTGGTTATTGTGGACTTGTTGTAATGGGTTTGTTGAGCAGAGGCTAGTAAACAGCAGTGATAACTAATTTGTGGCAGTATCATTCAGCTGACTATTATTCCTTTTTTGTAAACAAGGAAAGGGTTTTCTTAAAAACTAAGAACAGTATGAGAACTTCAAAGGTGAAAACTAGTTAGGGCTTTGTTTAGATTACCAATTTGCATTAATAAATATTTATTTTTCACTGAAAGAGGAGTTAAAGTTAAAAAATATATATGACAGAGAGATCCTTTTGCAGGATGGAGTGCTAATTACATACATACATACATACATACATACATACATACATACATACATACATACATACATACATACATACATACATACATACAATTAGCATTCCATCCTCACTTTTCCTTAGTGCTTGAGTTCACTTTACATAGAGAAGCTAGGTCATCATGATGTTGCTCAAAAGAGGAAAGTTCTGATCAGCACATGAAGTGGCTTACCAATGAATTAAAGGAAACAGTAACCTTTGGGAATGTTGAGCAAATTTTCCAGCAGTTGACCAAGATCATCTCCTTGTATGCCTGCATATGCAAAAAGGCTATTTAATGATGAAACATAACCTAGTTTTGCAGTGCCATGAACTCAAGTACACCTACTGACAAACTTCCTTAATTGAAGGATTCTTTAGGGACTTGTTTGGACATGATCTCACCTCTGTCCCAGGTTTCTTCCGCTTTGGGAGCAGGCGTGAACTCTTTCTCCACAGTTGGGGAGTCAGCCACACCTCCTTTAACACAGAAACTTTATGGTGATTCTGGGAAATTAAATCTTTATGAGCCAGCTAAGGGCATATTAGGGAACACAGTGCAGTCAAGCTGTTAACTTAACATGCCAGTAGAAGCACACTCCAGGTATTTTTGCTTGATGTTCTCAGTTAATGTTCCAGCTTGTATATTCTACCCACAACAAATACTAGATGAAAAAAATGCTTATTTTCTAGTCATGACAGGCCAGTGAATTAGAGATGAAAATAGACGGAACATGGCAATATTGAGAGATACAAATACTGTAACTGTTTTGCAAATTTTGGGAGAACCATTGCCCACTAGACAAACAGGAAATGGACAGGATTGTTCAAGCTTGTGATTCACCCTAGCATGCAAAACTACCCCATCAAGGTTATAATTTTGAGAGCTGTAAAGCATACCTAATGGAATTTTTAAGACAAAATATATCATGATTTCTTAGGAACATACTTCAAAGCAAACTGTTTTGTGTATTATGCAGGCACATACATCAAATCTGGGATGGGTTGTAGTTCTACTGTATGGTACGCAGTCACTTTGGTTGCTGTATACGGTACACTATAAAATGATCCTTTTAAAGAAAAGCTTCACAATTGCTTTCTTAGCAGGTCAATCAAACTTTTCTCACTTTTAGTAGAACTCTATGGTGAGGCCCAGAAAGGTGTGAGTGCCGTATTTGCTGGCGTATAAGATGACTTTTTTGCCCTGAAAAACATGCCTCCAAGTGGGGGGGGGTCGTCTTATACGCCGGGTGCACCCAGAGCGGGCAGCACGTAGTGCAAGGAGGAAAGAGGAGAGGTGAATGAGGAAGAAGAGGAGGAGGCGGAGGCTGCGCCTCTTCTCTCGAGGAGGCAGCGGGCGGCTCTGGCTCTCAGGCGCTGCATGGTCCAGCAGGAAGCAGCATGGAGAGGCGAGCCCAGCCCGGGAAGGGGGCGGAGCTCGGTCCCCACTGGCTCAGTCACTTCCTCGCACAGTTGCCCTCTTGAAAAGCAGCAGCAGCAGCGCCGCATCCTTCTTCCCTGTGACCTACCACCATATTGCCCTGGCATAGAGAAGTTGGCAAGCAAACAGCACCTGCGACAAGCCACCGCCGCGCCGGGCTCCCGAGGAGACTTCCAGACTTCCAACCTGTCCCTGTAGCAGACCAAACAGCAGGCAAAAGGCCCATATAATCGTCCTCTCCATTATTAAAGTTGGGGTTCTTTAGTATCCATTCAAATTTGTGTTGTTTTAGTGCTTGCCATTTCAGAGGTTTATCAGAACACCCTTAAGGTTTTATTTTTAAGACATATATACATAATAGCCTGTATATAAACAGTATATTATGTGTTTTCTCAGTCTCCTTTTTTCTCTTCCTTTTACTAGCTGAAAGCAGATGTGGTGCCAAAGACAGCAGGTAAGGCGGAACTTGTGCTAGTGCTTAATTTGATTTCCAGTATTTGCTTAAATCATGTTGGCAGGGAAATGGAAGAATCTGGAAATGTCTTCAGAGTTTGAGTCAGCATGATGTCCACAGGAGTAGGATGTATGGAAGCCAGAAGTTTTTTCACTTCATTTTATTTATCTGGAGCATAATCTTCTTTGAGCATTACGATATGGCTATACTCCAGCTTTTTCTAATGCTGAATTACAACACTTATTGAGGAATGAGAAGAGATGAAGATTTATGGATCTGCCTTTTTCCACAATCCATTAATTCAAATTATGCTACCATACAATTATCCAGCATCTTTTTGTTACTCTGGTGCTGGCGGCGGATCCAGAGTGGGGTCTCCAGGCACCTCCGTGTTCGAGATTCTCCCTTCCACTGCCACTCCCAGTGCTGCCACTGCCACTTCCAGTTCCGGGCACACCGCCCCCTGTTCCCCCCCCCCCCCGAGTGTGGGCACATGAGCCCAAAAAGGTTCATCACCACTGACCTAGGGGAAGAGGACAAAGAACTCTACACCATAGCCCATACATTTTGGTCTCTTGGTGGTTTAGGCACATCTTTATTGTAAGAAGTTCTCTAGGTGCAGGAAGAAATCTATGGAAAAATATGATTTTTAGGCACAATTTGGAAGCATGTTGCCAGAATAAGTATTGTAAAAGTGTATCATTGAAAGGCTAGAAAGCTCTGGTGCATGCTTGGAAGTTTTGTGTATCCCTTTTGGATCACATGGTTTTAGGCCTGAGTAATAAAATACAGCATTTCACCCTAAAATTATATTATTTCACATTTTAAGCAGGTTGCTCACATAAATCAAATGCACAGAAGAGAATTGGCGTAAGTAATATATGGAGGCAATCTCTCAGAAAGAACCACCTTCCCTGGCACGCTACTATTCTACATACGTAGTTAAGTAAACTGCCACATGCAACCTGAGGCTTCATGTATAAAGTAACAGAAATGGTATATGCAGAGCTGCTGTCAGTTGCTTTGTTTTCTGCATATTTAAATTAGTTAACCCTGCCCATCCAAAAAAAGGGGGGTGTCACTATTATTGCCTGTACAGTAATGTCTAAAGTGCTTTGTTGTATTTGTTTAATTTTTCTTCTCGTAACCAACCAAGTTGCTGTCTCTCTTCCTCACCTGCCAGAAAACTTTAGAGCTCTCTGCACTGGAGAAAAGGGCTTTGGGTACAAGGGATCCACCTTCCACAGAGTGATACCATCTTTCATGTGCCAGGTAAGGAAAATGTCCCTGATGTGTATGGAAGAGCAGCTGAAGAGATTCTTTGTAATCTGAGGCAGTTCTGTTATCTCAAATATTTAGTGCATCACAGAATTATTGTTACAAGCAGTGAAAAGTCTGTGTGTTCTGTGTCTGTTGCCAGCAGTCAGTCATTGTTAATTGTGATAATCTGAAGAATTCTCTGTATTCGTGGGTTGTGCAGCCACTGTCTTTTGGAAGTAAAATGGCAGGCTTGTAGGATTTTAATCAGTCCCATATAGTTGTGGCAGGCTTGAAGAGCCACCTGTCCTTGGAGAAGTAGAGGCAGATGTCTTTACATCTCACCCGCAACACATTCTAATATACATAGGAGGACTTGGTGTTAAATCATCATAAACTGGGCTCAGTGTTTCTAAAAACAACCTGCTTAAAGCAGCTGAACCACTAAAAATGCTAAAATGAAATTTTTCTTTAAGGTGAAGAAAATGAGCAGAGACTGCAAGCTTAAGACTTGAACCAAAATTTCTGATCAGACTGCTGTTCTTTACTGCTGCTGTTTCCGGGCACAATCAAATGCAAAGTGTGACTTGAAAAGTAGAGGAAATGTGACATGAGAAGATGTCACTGTTATGTAGTGGGGAAGCTTTTAGTTACTCTTTTTGTATAATTACTTCCCTTCAAGGATCTGATTGTAGGGAAGGATTTACAGTGGCTGGAGCAGAGAGGGACATCAAAATTGGAAGCTTTGAGAGAGATTGATTGACTGTGACAAGATTTCTACATTTTTTGAAATAAGGGAAAGTTTATACTTGTGCTCTAGTCAAGTCTGAAATCTTCCTTCTGGGCTCTTTTTCTTCCACAGCTCCATTCTTCTTCTTCCTCTAATGTTTGCTTAGGAATCACAGCAGTAGTTATTTAGGTTCAGGTACAAATAACTTCGCTGTCTCACCCTTGGACTGATGCAGCTATTTTTTTAGCTGTAGTACCTTGCCTTGAGTCCTTTCTCTAAGAGAAAGGTTGAATGCAAATAAATAAATAAATGATATTTTATGTTTTTGTTCATATGGTATGAAATGTGTAGATTTTTTCAGTAAACACACAATCCGCTTCATAGTGCTAAAGGAGGATATCTTGTTAGCAGCACTGTAATATTTTTTTCCATTCTATGTTTGAAATCGCATTATTTACTTAGACTGATGTAAGTTCAACAGTGTAAACATCAGATAAAGATTGCCACTAGCTACAATGCCAACACTTGTATTTCTTGTACACCAAGCCATGCAACTGGGTTGCACCAAGAAGTGCAAGCACTGATTTTGTAACTAGCAGCAAGTCACTGCTAAGATTTATTCAATTGGACTTACCACTGGTGAGCTGAAGTAACAGGATTCTGGTCTGTATTAACAGTACTTGCGACAAGAATTTCCCAAACCCCCCGACTTAACTCTACTTGATTGTCAGGCGGAAATGTTTGGTATGTTTGTGTGCTTTGAAAGCGTTCCACAGTCACTGTGTTTGTAATGTATATTCTTAGGTTCACTAACAGGCACTCTGATTAAAAGTGGCAGTAGATGGAAGTACTGTAAGGTGTGTTGATTAGTGCTGTTGCATTCCTGTTGTAAAGCTGTAATAAAAATGCCTGTCATTTCATATCTAAAACGTTAGGTCAGTATGATACAGCTGATTGTTACAATTAAGAGGTACAGGTCATTAATGTTTGGAAATACTCTTAAATCATAGGGTGTGTTTAGGTATTGCCAAGATGTTGCCCTGCATTCTCGTTTCTTTAAACCACAACCAATGTCTTGCTTTTGGGTTACTTTTTTCTTGTTCTTTGGTAGATGAAAATGTTTTCTGTGAAATTGTTAGCATAACAAGCTGACACATGACAGTTTTATGTCACCTTGCTGTCACCTTGCTTTGATACTAAGTAGTTGCATCTTCTTAATTTCAGCATATAAATGGTATAACTGGCTTCTAAATTATGTTTGGAAATGAGCAGAGTGAAGAAATTGGCACAGCACCTGCACACATGCACACACTATATTTTTACGAGCTGTTCTTCTGTGAATAGGCCGCCTCTTGAGAGCTGGTAGTCAAGGTCTTCCTTTAAAAGAATGTACATTCCTAGAATTACTGTGTAATGCTACCCATGCCCTTACAAGTATATATTAGAATGACGTATAGATTATGGTTGTTTGAAAACTGGCAACAAAAGGCAGCTAAGTAAAACTAGTGCCAAATTTTTCTCAGATATGGCAAGCAATTTCACGTTGCCCTTAAAAATGTACAGTATATATTATCCTTCTGCCCAATTAGTCTATATAGTGAAAACCCTTGTGTTACATGATGACATCACACATTGTGAGTGTTCCCCACATCCCCCAGCAACAGCATGATATCATAAGGTGGGCTTTACTGAACTTTTAAAGGAGAAGAAGGAAAGTAGGGAGGTGTATGTTTTGTCTCTTATGTTTGTTCAAAGTTGGTTCAGATGAAAATTCAGATGTGAAGCTAAAGTGAGTAATATTGGCATAAGTGGTCTGTGCTGATTGTTTCTATCAAGAAAACTAGCAACACTTATGTGGCATTAAGGAGCTGGGCAGTGATAAGATGTACAAAGAAAAACATGGCCCAAGTTCTTGATTATTTTTAAAGAAATTATATAGTAATCAAAACCCTTTCATGATCCGTCTCTTTTTTATTAGTTCTGTTTCCTCCACTGAGCTTAAGGTGATGTATGTTGTTTTACCTACCCAGTGTTACTTTCAAATTAGCCTGTGAACTAGGTTAAGCTGAGAATGACCGGCTTAATGTTACCCAATGGGTTTCATGCTCTCTGTGGACTTGGATCTAAACATCCCAGGTCCAAAGCAGAGTAAATTTGCTTTTGTTAGGAGACAGTTTTATCCAGATGCTGTTATGATCAAACAGCAGCCTGTATTAGCACAAGTATTGGAGTACTGTATGTCAAAATCAATCCATACTTCAAAACTGTACTTGGCTTCATGCTGTGTGATAACCAAAACCTGCATCATGTACATGGCCTTGCTGTTTGCTCCCAATACACCAGGGATTCCTGGCTTAATATGTCATGGGGCTGTGGCTGTATTCACCATTGTGATGCCATCTCTTTGTTCTTGAGGTTTATAAATATGATGCTCAAGACCACTTGGTACACTTAATAGTTTATTGAAGGTTCGGAGATTTGAACCCCATTTCCCCTAGTCTCAATCAAAACCGGATCTATTGGCTATTATACACATAAATGATCCTTCTTAACTGCTGAGAACACTTTATGTATATTGTTATGGGGAGGAGTGACTTCCCAGTAATCTCTTGAAGTTCCATCCATTTTAGAACATGGGTAGGTTTTCTTTTGCCTTTATAGCCCTGGCGTCCTCTGCTCTCCCTTCTAGAATGATTCATAGATTTTCTGGAAAACCTTTTCCCTGATTTTTATATTGGAGGGACAGGTGGGATGATAGATCTAGAATGAATGTGTGTTTGATGTAGATGCTTTGAGTCTTTCACTCTTAACTGCTACCTTCTTCCATAGGCCACTGGATGCATTGTCTTCTAGGGCATTGATTTTATCAATAGTGGTTGGCTTCAGGCACCCAATTATGATTCTATAGCTTTAATTAACTGCTGTGCCTATCTATTTTACATGGTCTGAACTATGCCCTATATTTGCCTGTTGAATAGTAGAGATCTAAGGCTATAACTCTTGGTGTTTGTGATTGGGTGCCCCAATGGATTCCTGATAGTTTTTGAATGATATTCTTCTTTTTGAAGACCTTTTGCTTTGTGTTTTGGCTGTGTTTCTTATAAGTCAGCGTAAAGTCCAAATTAATACCTAGATATTTGGGATCAAAACAGGGATCTGATTGGATGCCCTCCCAGATAACCTAAAGTTTCTGTCATTTCTCAAATGGGAGGCAAATATTTGAGTCTTGGTAACGTTGGGTTTAAGTTGATAATATGCACAAATTCTTCTAATGAACCTGTTACGTTTCACATGGCAGGCATCTTCTATCAGACTGCATAATAGCATTATTGTACATGTATATTTAGACAAAAATTGTGCTTCTTCCAGGGAGGCGACTTCACTAATCACAATGGCACAGGAGGCAAATCTATATATGGCAGTCGATTTCCTGATGAGAACTTCATTCTCAAGCATGTTGGACCAGGTAAGCAAAACTTCTTTTCTTAAGAAGAAGGGGGTTCTGGGCTGATGTTCTGAGAGAGAGAGAGAGAGACTCCAACATATAATGGACCACCAGCCATTAAGGGTTTTGTATACTAGAACTAGAACTGCTGGATAGCTCAGTGGTTTACGTCTCTAGCTGTGAAGCCAGAAGTTGGGAGTTTGATTCCCCACCGTGCCTCTTTGACGGAGGCTGGACTTTATGATCCCGAGGGTCTCTTCCAGTTCTGCAATTGTAAGGTTGTTGTTGCTGTTTTTAACCTGTCTAGGAAAACAACAGGTATCAGTTATTATGCTGAGAGCTGTTGAGGAAAATTAATGAGGGGCTCAGTGGCTGGAAGTCGCATTGATGGAGGAGCCTAGTATTCATCTTATCTGGATGGTTTTATCCTAAAGGATTGAATTCCCAGTTAAGACGTGTTGTTTTTTTGGAGGGGGGGAATGAAAGCACAAGATGTGCCCACATCCCAGGGCAATTAACTGACCTGCAGATGCAGTCCTTTAGGGAAATGGCCTAACATTGCTATGCTGATCTGTGGCTTGGTCACCTCCAAACTGCAGCATAAAAGGTTTGTATTGGAACACAGCTTCTATGACTAATTACCAAGTGGAAACAGCTTATACAATTATAAAATAATGAAGTTGGAGGGGGCCTATGAGGCCATTGAGTCCAACCCCCTGCTCAGTGCAGGAATACAAATCAAAGGATATTTGCTGGGTGGTTGTCTAAATTTCTCTTTAACACCTCCAGTGTTGGAGCACTCACCACCTCTCGAGGTAATTGATTCCATTGCCGTACTGCTCTAACAATTAGGAAGTTTTTTCCTGATTTTTCAACCAAAACCTGTAACTTATCACTGTTACCCAAGTGAATGGCTACATCTACACTGTACACAAATTGGGTTATGTAAAACAGTTTCTAGCAGAATCTAGGAGACAATTATTCAACAAACGATATTTTGGATTTACACTGGTGTATTTTGTCATGTTCTAAGACAGAGCTTTGGCCTAAGCTTTAGTGTAGTTATAACACTGTTTTGGGTAAACTGAACATATATGGTAACCACCCCTTGAGAGCCAACATATGATTAGTTTACGTTACAAATACAGCACAGAGCTAGGCTGTTACCACCAGCAAAAATTCAAAGTTGTGCATGTCTGTCATAATTATACTGTTTACTTAGTTGACATGTAAATTGTTTGGCAAAGGCAACCCCACCTATTCTAATCAGGTGTTGGAAGTGTTTGATGAAAAGCATAGGCATAGAAATATTGGAGAGTGTGTCTAGGAAGCAAGCTTAAACAGAGAGGAAGTCTTGGGTTCTTAGCAAAGGAGATTGAAGTGTTTGGAGAACCATGAACCTAGTGTCGGTTCCTTCTAGTGCCCATTTATATTAGGAGATTTATGGAGAATCTTCAAATAGTATTCTATATTCTGAATACTGGACAGAACTTTCATGCAAAATTCACCTGAATTACTATTTGTTCTTGTTTTTGTACTGTGATGTTTAATTGCTCTCTTGTTGCTGTTGCAGGTGTTCTGTCAATGGCAAACGCTGGGCCCAACACCAATGGTTCTCAGTTCTTCATTTGCACAGCCAAAACAGATTGGTAAGCATTCTAGAAGCATGGATATGGTGTTTCTAGCAAAGTGTTCCCTCAGTTTTGTAAATTGCTGAGTATGAGAGAACGAAATGAGGCAACATGCTTTTGAAAATGTCATCTAAAAACTTCATATAATTTAGTAAATACAGTGATGCCTCGCTTAACGATTGCCTCGTTAAACGACGAAACTGCTATACAATGACTATTTTGCGATCGCAAAATGATGTTTTAATAGGCAAAATCTGCTTTGCGACAATCGGTTCCCTGTTTTGGGAACCGATTCTTCGCATTACGTTTTTAAAACAGCTGGTTGGCGGCTTCAGAATGGCCGCCTGCTCTGTAAAATGGCTCCCTGCTGTGTTTTTGGACGGATTCCTTGCTTTACAGGCACCAAAAATGAATCTTCGCTGGACGGTGAGTTTTTCAGCCCATTGGAACGCATTGAACGGGATTTCAATGCATTTCAATGGGATTTTTTATTTTGCTTAACGAGGATTTCGCTCTACAGCGATTTCGCTGGAACAGATTATCCTCATTAAGCAAGGCACCGCTGTAAAAGTAATTGCACTATATATGGCTGTTCCCATTCTGTTTGAAAAGGAGCAGTGCTTTTTCACTAGAATATTTCCTGTGAAGTGTTCATTTGAAGTGATAAAACACGGAATATTGCAGAATTCTGTCTTTTTAATATAAGCTACTTTTGCTCTTGAGAAGTGCTCCTTCTTTGATTACACTTCAGGTAATGGCTACAGATGAAAATAAAACTGATCACTTTTTCAGTGGTGCAGCCATAATGTAAACAGCAAGCAATTAACTCTAGAATAACTATTGGGCACGGGTCAAATGAGGCTTCAGTATTTATATACAATTTATTGTAACGCTTAATTTTGCTGACACAAAAGTTAAATATTGTTTTCTTTATGTAATTTCCCTACACAGATCATGCATGGGGGGGGGGAACCAGGTGTAACACAACATCAGTACAACATGAATATTCTTATTGTCCATTGGTCAGATACTTAATGGCTGAAATCCTATGCAGATGTCTTAACATTTGGAAGCAAATTGCCAATGGTTAAGAAATCTCCATAAATATTATCTACTGCATGTTGATTTCTGTGACTCGGCATGCAATAGATAATTGTGCAGCAAATTTCACTCAATGAGCAGAAGGCAACTGCACTTTATGCAGTGTGCCAGAGGACTGGTGGGGTTTGGACAAACCTATCACCTGAGGAACATGAGACCAAGAATGTCTTTAACTGTTTACTGATACTAGCTATCCCTCCCCTTTGTCAGATTCTGATTATTGGCCTAATGAAGCTAAACTCTATTATTGGGGTGTGAGTCTTTTGGTATGTGATGTCTCTGGCAATTGGTTGGCTTTCGTAGGGCTTTGGTCAAATACTAATTGCACTGCATAGAGATAAGTGTGGATTTTAAAACTCATGTCCCGCCCTTGTGCATTCATGTAAAATTCCTCTGTCGAGGCACAAAGCCTAACAAACTATAATTCTGTTATGTCTATTCAGATACCATAAAAGCAATGTGCAAAGCCACTTCAATACATGGTTTCTAATTCTGCTTTATTGGATAATTGCAGGCAGACACCAGTGGATTCAAATGTCATGTCAACCCATGATTATTTTCTCCTTAATAGATGAATTAAGCATTTTTATCACTTCTTGTTTTTCATGTCAGATTCTTCCGCCATGTCCTCCCTCTCCTCTTGCGATGTACAGTAGATATAGCTCTGCAGTGTTTTCCCCTTTTTAACATTACCTTCGTTTATATTGTAGGCTGGATGGAAAGCATGTTGTGTTTGGCCATGTGAAGGAAGGAATGGAGATTGTGAAAAAAATTGAAAGCCTTGGATCCAAGAGTGGGAAGCCTTCAAAGAAGATTGTCATCACTGATTGTGGTCAGCTGTCATAGTTTGGCATCTTCCCACTTCTCTGGAGAAACACTGAAGCATGAATGTGAATGGTCACTCGCACGTTTCGGGTTTGGACTGTACTAATAAGAAAACGAAACCTTGCTGAGCCATGATCAGGGAATGACAGTTATCTATGAAGACAAGGAATCCACTGAAATCATTTTCAGCTTTTTAAAATTTTGATGCTGTTGTATTATTTCATATATATTTATTAGAAGATTCTGACTAAAGCTTGAAAGCAGAAAAGGCAAGAACAAAGGCTTCTTAGAAAACCTCAGAAATCGCTGATGATCCAAACTGTGAATCTTATAAAAGTGGACTGAATTTTAAGTCTCTTGATTAGGGTTTTCTCATCTTAATGATTTAAAATTCATCTCGTAGATTGGTTGAACTGGCACTTAAAACTTCTGTTTCAGATGACTGTGTTAACTGATATCTAGCATCGGATAAAATCTACAGCCTCTGTGGACAAATGTTTCACCTATGGCTCTCTTAACGGTTAACTCTTCTGACTTTGGAATTGAGATGATCAGTTCATATAAGTGATGGAGTTGTGCTGCATCTTCCTCTTGTGAATTGATTCATTTCTGTTTAGTTAAAAACTTTCAGCTTAACTAATGCTATACCTTTCAGTTGCACTCTTGAGATTTTTGTAACTCAAGAGTTCACAATGTATTGGTACGAATACATCAGTCCTTTGTGAGCACCACACATCAGTGTCCTAGATTTTTCTTGATTCTTCTCGTCCTAAATCATTACAAGCAGTTTAATAACAACAGAAAGATTGAATTAACTAATATTGGCTTCAGCTGCTTAGAAACATGGTCCTATTAGGATCTGAATATAGCAACATGCTACCAGTGAAGGTGGAAATGGCCAGCTCAGTAGTTAAACTGCAGTACTGAGGCAAGCCTCTACTCACAATCCAAGTTCAATCCTGATGGGTTCAGGTAGCTGGTTCAAGGTTGACTCAGCCTTCCATCCATCCAAAGTCGGTAGAATGAGGACCTTACTGGGGGACAAGTTTTTGTTTGCGTAATTACATTGTAAACCATTCAGAGTGCTCTAGCACTATGGGGCAATAGGTAAGTCAAAATGACAACAGCCAGGAGCCAGCTTAATCTATTTCATGTACAACTACATTTTTGAAATCTAATATGCGGAAGGGCTGACTGTTTTTAATGGATATATTCCTGTTCAGACCTACTTCCAGTGTGGAGCTACGTAGTTGATGGAGTTGTACTCCCCATTAGCCGCCTCATGGACTCAACTATGCTCCATGTTTACGTATGGTTGCACACTGCATCAGATGACTTTGGAGGTAAAAAGAAAGAATACATCACATTGTCCTTGTCTCTGGAAATAACCACCCAGAAATAGGAAGCGATTGTCCTTGTCTCTGGAAATAACCACCCACCATGAGGGAATTATGAGCAGAAATAGGAAGCAAAAGGGAACTGCTAACATATCTGAGATTTCTATTTGAAAATGAGTGCTGCTGATGAACTGTTTGACCTTTGTGGTAGCCTTATATTGAAGCTGAGCTGTATTGAAACCGTTGTTGATGGAGCTGGCAGTTGCTTATGAATTGTGAAAATCTGTTAATGGAGAAATTAAACTGGAAACCTTGCATGGTGGTTTTCAGGCTACTGCAGACCTGCCTTTTGGTACATTTTTAATACATGCATAAAATTATGAACAGTAAACATTTAGCACAGTTAATATTGTGCTAAATATTTCAAAGAACCTTGTTGAGCTATGTGTGGTATAATGGTTAGACTCTCTGGCCAAGATTTAGGAGATCAGGTTCTAGTCCCCACTGAGCCATGAAACTCACTTGACACACCTAGCAAGTTCCTTACACTTTTCCTGGCCTAGCCTATCTCATAACGTTGTGAAGATACACTGAGCAAAAAAAGACAGCCATGCATATTATTTTGAGCCCACTGGAGGGAAAGGTGGTGCAGAAATATATCTAAAAAATATTGTGAGTTTATATTTTTGTAAAGCAGGTTTAAAATGCTACATTTTGCACACATCTGGTGAAAAGCTCAGCATAATTTAAAGAAAACTAGCAGCAAAATGAAATGCGACTTTAATCTATTGACCTTGCATTCTTTGAAGTATTTTTGAAATATGCAATTTAACTCGTTTGGCCTATGTTCAGGATCAATAATAAATAGTATTTTTGTTACATGTTCCTTTTTTGTATGTGCAAAGTAATTAAAGACATTTTGTAAGACTGAATGGCCTATTTCTTTTTTTAAGTGTAGCAGTAAAAGGGACTTGTCCTTCTGAATAACAATGTGTTCTGAAGCAGATTCTCTCAACCTGCTGGCCAGGGTGAAGGGGAAAAGTTGTCTGATGCATCAGTCTTGGGAAAGTTATATTCTCAACTCTTTCTACTGATAAAATCGCCACTGGTTCTGTTGTGTGATGTTATTTTAGGAGCAATTAACTTGATACACTAAAAGCACATTGCTTAGAACATTGGTGTGCTAATTGGGTGTCTCACCCCTTTTGGAATGTAGGTGTCTCAGATCGAAATCACCTGCTCATGTATGATGAAGCCTGAAATGCTACCTACTTGAGCCAGCTGACCTTCTGTTCATTCTTAGTCACCCATTCATTTTCTGGATCCTTCTGGAACCCCAGTGAGACATTTATCATTCACATAACCTTCCTCCTGTTTCCTGCTTAGCCTGAATTTCAGGTGGGTGATAGTGTTTTGAGAAGAGATACATAGGTTAGCTTATCAGAATGCTATGTCAGGATTGTAATACCATGGAGCCCGATGTTATGTGCCCAGAAAATGTTGGACTACAGTTCCCATCATGGTAGCAAAATCTAGGACCCACTGCTCTAGCACATAGAACTGCCATTGCATGTAAAATTTGTATTTTCCTTCTTAGTGGTGTGAATAATTTAAATATCGAAGGAGATGAGGCTTATCCTAGCCAGTTTCTCTTTGTAGTACAGCCATAATATATTTTAGTGTTGGGTTTAGATTGGCCATAGGGAAATGAGATTGGCCATAAGGAAATGATTCCTGTATCAATGCCAGTGTAACCAGCTGAGAGCCTAGGCACGGGGGGGATATGGTTATTTGTAATGTATCTTAATGAAATTCCTAAGCAGTTTGCATAAGCAATACACTATAAAAAGGTAACACAACAGTTGAAGTTGTAAAATAATTAAAAACAGATCAACAGCCAGTATACAAACGAACTGAAATAGCCATTAGTGGCTTCAGGAAGGTACCATTTATTTGCCAAGATCCAATTTCACCTACCAGTATAACAATCCAAGTAAATCTCAGCAGCAAGTCACTGCAAGGTAAGAAATTAGTGTGTGGATTTGTTGTTGCAAGGGAGAGTCATGTAAATGCTAACCTCTAGCTGCTGTTCAGCCAAATTCATTGCATTACATTGGTGTAAAGACACAACAGGATTTTGCCCATCAAGTGTTTTTATTAGATGTTAAGACGTGGCACAGCGTCTGCCTCTTATATTATTTTGGAGTGGAATGTTCCAAGGAATGAATTCCCTTTGCGCTGGTCAGTGCTGGATCATTTAATCAGGCATTGAGCAGCCAATAAGGCCTTGGTATAAGGGGGGGAGTAGGTAGATCCAGGGTGTACGATACCCTGAACACCCAAGGGGCAAAAATGTTTTAAGGCTTTATTTATCAGCAGTGGCACTTGGAACCTGTCTTAATAGCTCATAGGTACCCAGTGCAGTTCTTTTATCACAATTGTATTTACATAGCTTGGTGCTCCCACTGAGCATCCTGCCATTCACAACACACTGGGACAATGGTAGTAGTATGCTTCTCTAGCTCTTTAGAGATGGGCACAAACCACCGGTTCATCCCAGTTTGTTTATCGACACAACAGGTGTTCAGTGGTTTTGTGCCCACCCCCTCTGGAAGGGGCCTAGTCAGAAGCAATGTCCCAGCTCCTCTGCCCCACGTCTGGGCACTGCTTCTGAGGGGTACCCTCCAGAGGGGGGCAGGGCATTGAACTACCTAACACTGTTGCAGCAGTAAAAAAACTGGGCCAAGCTACCAAATTGGTGATTCGTGCCCATTTCTAAATCAGCATAGGACGGAAATTTAATTACCGTGTTTCCCCAAAAATAAGACAGGGTCTTATGTTACCATATTTTTCCATGTATAACATGCTACTTTTCCCTAAAATCATTACACTAAAAATTGAGGGGCGTCTTTTACACAGAAGTAAGGTGGGAACACTGAGAGAAAACGGCCCATACCTTGCCTCTGTAAACAGGCTTCCTTCAATCACGAAACTTTGCTTCCTACAGTCATGAGACTTAACTTCCTCCAATCACGAGCCTTATAGAACAGACGTCAGTTGATGCTGAACAAACTGACTGGAACATACCTCGTTGGAGGTGGAGCTTGTAGGCTCAAAATGTCCGACTGTTCTGAGCCCAGAGGTTGTTTTTTCTATACACAAATTTATTCCTCTTTGGGAGGAAAAGAACTTGAGGTTTTAAAAAACTCCAAAACAGGAGAAAATGAAACTATTGCGTTTCCCCAAAAATAAGACAGGGTCTTATATTAATTTTTGCTCCAAAATGCATTAGGGCTTAATTTTAAGGGATGTTTTGTTGTTTTCATGTACAACAATCTACATTTATTCAAATACAGCCATGTCATCTCCTGGTTGCTGCACAGTGGTGGAGGGCGGTGTTTCACTTAGGCTTATTTTGGGGGTAGGTTTTGTATTACGATCATCCTAATATACTAGGGCTTATTTTCAGGAAAACAGGGTAGCAATAATAAAAACATCTGCCTGGTATGTTTCAACATGTTTCTCCTATAAACTTTTAATTAAATTACAGCATTTAATTTCTAATCCTCTCTTTACGTTCAAAAGTAGGGATGGAAACTGTGTTAGGATACAATTCCTGTTAATCCCCCATATTTGCCTGCACTGTCTAGGACTGATGAAAGTTACAGTCCAGCAATATCTATAAAGGCCCCATGTTCTCCATATGTATTTAAAAAGTGAATCACATTGTGTTCACTCAACCATAAGTTTGTGTACACAGGACTGAAGACTTGTTCAAGTCTATATGTGGTTCTCTTC